GAAATACAAATAACACAGTAAAATGTAATAAATGTACATAAAATTATAGTATTTTATGTACACTTCTGATAAAATTTCATAAGAAAGGTACCTATGAATTAATTAGATACCTTTCTTATGAAATTTAATCTCACTCTCAACAGTCTTATTTTAATTTTTTTATAATATATTTTCCATGAAGCATTGTAAACGTAAAGATGAAAGCTAAGTACAAAAAAAAAAAATGAGAGCACTGAAAATTTTCCTTAAAAATAACAAGGTAAATGATTTGTTCACTTCAACCTAAATAATTATATTACTTCTGTCCTCCCGTATAACTTTTCCTCACGTAAGCTCTCAATATGTGATGAAATCATCACTCATCACCTGTCAAGTGACGCGAAATGTTATGGCCTGCTTTGTTTTATTTTTAAACTACTTCTTTTCAGCACAGAAACTAAGTAATGCTTGTTTCAAAATATTTTAAATAAACATAATTTCTAATTTTCTTAAAATAAATTTTGAAAGAATTATAATTGATTTTTAAAAGAATTTAAAACTGAGATTTTCATGTTTTTTTTTGTTTTTTTTTTTTTTTATAAAATGAGGAAAAATAGTTGACATGATTGATTATCTGTCAATTTTGCTGACTCAAAAAAAAAAAAAAAAAATTTAACAAAAATTTCGGACGTGCTAGGAATGATTAAAAAATGTAAAAAAAATACCCCTAAAATACTTTGATCTTTCGTCTTAAAAATAACATGAACATTTAGACAATAAAAATTTTTTTTCACCATTTTGGCATCTTTTTCATCATGCTATGCTCTTTTTTAGCGATCTCATGGAAGTACCTAACTTAACAGAAGAGTGAAAAAAATGAAAAAGAGCTCTTAGAGTCATCCAACAGAATAGAATTAATTATCAAACTTTGAGAAACTTTTGTAACGAATGCCAAAAATTTGTGCTGCAGTAATCAAAGCTAAAGGAGGATATTTTGATGAGAGCAAAATTTAATTATAATTTTTTTTTTTTTTGTCATAATAAAATTTCTAATAAAAAAAATCATGTCTCACTTTTTTTAATCATGTATAATAATTATTTTATATTTTAAACCTAAAACTACTTTTTTTTTTTTAAAAAATACCAGGATTGCCTCAAACTTTTGATCTATAGTGTACCATTACAATCATCATACAGTATTGCATTGTTGCAATGATGCTATCATTGTTAAAATAAAGAATCTCAAGCAAACAAAAAAAAAATTTCAAAATAAAGGTTTGAGCTTCAGATTCATTGCTAAGATGTTAAATATCCCCAATCAATACCACTAGATTGATTATTCTAAAATGGAAGAAATTTGACTCCACCAAAAACATTCTTCTAACTGGCAAGATAGAAAAAAATGTTTTCATAAATAACTAGAAAATAGAAAGAAAAAGTAAAAAATGCAAAATAAACTAAAAAGAAGATTGAAGATGATTTAATATAGCTGGGACATCAGCTACTCATTTTTTTTTAGTAATAAACTCAACAAGAATGGTTTAAAATCTTATAGTTCATTGAAAACACCTGTAAAAAAAAAAAAAAAAAAACTGGGAATCTTAGATAAATTTTTAATTGTTGGCATTTAGAGAATTAATAAATTTTGGAAATTTGAAATTTGGATGAAATGGGAATTTTTTTTTTCATTAAAATTTTTCAGGTATTCTTTGTATTTTTTTTTCTGAAATGAAATTGCATCGTTCTACCATAGTAAAAGTATGAAGGTGAAATATTTGAGTTTAGAATATTTCAATGGTATTTATATTTTTGGGGTAAAAAAACATGATTAAAGGAAAATATTGATGGAGAATTGTATTTTGGAAGATAATTTTAAAAAATTATGTAAACATATAAAAAGTTTGAAGAGGGTTTTCATTCAAAGGGGGACACAACACCTTGAAGCATATTTCTGAAGTAACTCATGAATGGCTTGTTCTAAACAGTGTAGAAATTTTCAGTGACCAGGTCAATTTCCTGATTTCAATACAATTTAAAATTTATGAATATTAATCTCCCAATCAAATTCATGAAAGGGACTTTTTATAATTAATGACTTGAAAATTATTTGCAAGGAAGAGTCAGTCAAGACTTCAAACAAATGTTGTGAAGGCTTCCTAAATCTAAAAGCATAATCAGAATACAAATTTGCATAAATGAATTCAATTTGAGTATTAAAATGGTAGGTTAAGACTAAGCAATTTTTCTTTGAAGTTTAACTCTGTTATGTTTTTAATGATAATTGTAACCAGTTTGGTAGCTCCACAATAAATTTTTGCAGATAGATTTACTTTGATCACAAAGAAGTTTAGAGACCTTTAAAAATAATTTTTTTTTCCTAAAACTATTCACTATATATAAGATAAAAACAATTTTGTTCATTTTTATTTAACAGAAAAAATTCTTGGTGTTATATAAGGCACTTGAAAAACTATTAATATTCATTCTAAGATTATTTTTTTTTATGAAATAATTTTCAATTTGTAAATTTTGTAAAAATAGGTACCTATACAGATTAAGGCAATACCTAAGGTTTAAAATGAATTTTTAAAAATGAAAAATTTCCTTGGAGCTTTTATTTTAGTTTTAATTTCAAGCTGCTAGATTAAATTTAATATTTCCAATAAGCAAAATAGTGTTGTATTTCAGAACTAATTTAAATTGATTATGAGTTTTTGTTTTGAAATTTCAAAAAAAAATTTAATTTTGCACCATTTTTAGCAAACTGTTATAAAAATGTAAATCTCTTTAAAAAATCTTCCAAAAATAAAATATACTTTTCTGAAACTTGAGGAACTGATGTAAAGTATAATTAATTTGATTTGAAACAACTATTACTTACCTTAAGTTTAAAATATTGCAGAAACGCTATCTTTTTAACATGGTGGTAACTGTTTATATTGGCAAATTTTTAACAGCTCAATGACAGATAGATTTTTATCGAATGTTGTTCTGCAGAAGTGTTACCCATATTAAAAAAATTGAAGAATATAGCATGAACACTTTGTAAATACTCAGTAATCTTAAAAATTTAAGAAAATATTCTCCATAATCTATTGTTTTATTGAATTTTAGATAAATAATTTTGGCCTTAAATTTGCTATAGTTATTGCTTTTATTTTCTGATAATGTTGTGTATGGACAACTGTATTTCCAAAATTTGGTATGTTTATACACATCAATTCTAAATTCTTCTTAAAATTACATGGGATCATCAGATTGTAATAAGCTTTATGTTATATGATTAGTAAATATAGTTTTACTTAATAACAATATTCCCTGACAGTTACACCATTGAAACTGAATTTTAAAAACTTTGTACAAATTGTAATTCAAATTGTAAAAAAATGAAAACAAATAATATAAAAATTAATTTTTCATCAAATAATTTTTTTTCTTAAGACAATATTATATTTATTATTCATAAAGGTAATTAAAAGCTTTTCTAATTAAATAATGTCTTAGTTTTATTGCATTTTTTATTTTACGATTCAGAGCATATTATCAGTAATACAGGGTTCAATTTTACAAAAAAAAATTGAGGATTTAAATTTTGCAACGAGTTCTGCTTTTAACTAATATAGTCACTAAAAATTATCTCACTGAATTTCTTGAATTGAATAAGTTTTGCATTAAAATCCAAGAATTATTTGATTTTTGCAAGAATTTCCAAATTAATGTAATTTACTGCAAAAAAGATGTTAAAATTTGCTATGGTAATTTATAGTCCATCTGCTGATGCAAAAAAGACAAGATTTTTACTTAAAATTTCAAATGTTCTAAAAAGGATTAAAAAAATTGAATTAAATATTCAAAAAAATACTTTGATCTTTCCTCTTAATAACAAAGATTTTGATGATAAAGCTGTTTTTATTATGTTGGAAACATTCTTTTATCACCGTATGCTAATTTTTTTTTAGCAAATTCATGGAGGTACCTATGTTAGTCATTTTATAATTTACTTAAATGAGATCATTATCCATATTGATATTATTAAAAGATTTCATGTATCTAGTTTGAAATCAGATATCTTTCAATTCAGTGGTTTTGTTGTTTTTTGAGTTTTTTTTTCTCCTAGTTATTATTTTTTAAAAAATGGAATGTTAGAACTTGTCTCCTGTTTAAGTTACTAATCACTGGGTTTATATTTTCTTACTAAGATTGATATTGTTGAATTCATTGAATACAGAAACACAAACAGCTGTAGCAGACATTAAATCAACTATTTGTTATTTGAATAGCAATAGCATTTATGATTCATTATAATATATAAACTAAATGAAAAATAATCATTTAACTGTAATTCAAATGTTTCATCAAAGGAAATCATAAAAGATATTTTATAATTCTCTTTCTAAACAGCTTATAATTGCAATAAACTTTCAGACATGACCCACTACTAAAAATGGTTGGTGTTTACATTATGAAAGCTGTAGAATAAAATTTACCTTATTACAATGATATACTGATAGATTTAAATGCTGACTTTTCCAGTTGCTTTCTAAAGATATCACCAGTTAGTATTTGAATTTTAATATTTATTTTCTTTCACTTTTTTCTCTTCAATTTTGTCAAATTAAAAACTAATGCACCATGTCACAAAACCAAGATATTTTAGTTGAAGTTTTCTTAGAAACTTAAGGAAGAAAATATACTCATAGTTGGATAAATGTCTATAAATTTGGTTGGACATATGGATGGAATGAGAAGCTCTGGAATGTAAAATAGTTAATGGCAATAGTGAATTTATTGTTTCAAAAAGAAGAAATTAAGAAGCATTTTTATTTTAAATATTCTATTTAAACAAGTATTTTCTCTTTTATACATATTGAATCCTCGATTATACTGTGTATGAAGAAATTCTAATTCAAATTGAAGTAGTTGAAATAATTTGTTTTGTATTCATTTTATATAAATGTAAAGTGAATTTTTCTCAAAACTTGAAAATCTGCATTTCATGTCACTTTTTTGTTGTTTTACAGAATCTTCTGGCAGAATATTTAATTCCCAAAGCATCTGGTGAAGAAAGCAAAGTATTTTATTTGAAGATGAAGGGTGATTATTACCGGTATCTTGCTGAAATTGCTCAGGGAGAAGACAGAAAGGGTGAGCAGCACTGAACTAAATTCCTTTGACATTAATTCTTAGCAACTGATGACATGGCAATATTTGTTAAATTTGTTGCATACTCATGTATTTAAACAAATAACATTGCATTTTCATTTTATTTTGTCAGCAAAAAGAGATTGATAAGTCTTCCATATTTAATATAAAGTATCAAAATTTATTATTTGAAAGATGCCTTCAATTTTTTTTTTTTTTTCAGAATTATTGAATGAATTATAATTAACTAAAGATATTTTCAGTTTTTTTATTGCTAAATTTTTCACAATTACTTTTCAGAAAATAAAATGCATTTGAAAAGTTCTGTAGTATTTTTCATATTTGTATCATTTTGTACTTCTTTTCAACAGTTACCATACCAATATTTGTGATACATTAGTTTATTTTTTTTGGTAAAGATTTTTTTAAAATGAAGTATGGATTTTTGTATGAAAAACCTTTTTCTTATGTGCTTCAAAGTTTTTAATGGGGAGATGTCAATTTACAATATACATTTAATGCTAATCTGCACCCTTACATTGTGTCTATTTTTATGAAAACGACTCTTCTTTTTTATTAGTTCATGATGTCCATAATTTAAAGTAGAGAAGCCTAAAATAGTTTTAAAAAGTTTCATTTTTTCTTTCTGTAACTAGGTACTTAATTTGTGCTATTACAAAAACTCTAATCCTCAAACACCCAACACTAACCCCTAAACAAAACTTAACTATAAGTTGATAAAATATTTTCTTTTTTAAATTTACCCATATATTTGCTTAAATGCAGAAAGTCAGGGTTGAGTTAAATTGAACAGTCTATATTATGAAATCAGTCACATATAATATGTGCATTGTAAGTTTAGAGCAATTTTGCTCAATTCCACGTTAAAGCTTTCATTTTCTTGAAAATGACCAGTTTATCAAAGAAAGAGTATTTTTATAAAGAGCAGAGAAAACTACTTTGGAGAAAAATCATTTTGGTTTAGCTGAATCATTACTTATCATTTTTTAATGTTTATATACAGTGTTTGTTTATTTTTTTAGATGATAGTACCTCTATTAACTTTTATTATAAATGAATTAAGTGTGTCCTTTACTACATTCATTTTTATTTTCTCTAAATTCAACAAATGTATTTCCCTTGTCTTTATATATACAAACAAATAATTAACCAAAGCATTGAGTTTAAGGTGTGTACAGTATATCAATTAAAACATTTTGAGAGCATACCACTCAGCATATTCTTTGTATTCAAATTTTAATCATTTTAGGGGAAATTTGCATATGGCAGTCCAATAGCATTTGATCTTATAACATAAAAACCTAAAATTACAATGGACTTCAACATATTACTTGTTTCAACATATTTATATGAGAGGGTGCTGAAAATTCTTGGCCTGTCTCACTTCCCAAAATTTGACCAAATGACCAAACATCAGAATTTTATTTGATATTCCTTTTTGGTCAAGCTGAAAACTTCTTGTAATTTGATGAGGTTTGTAAACTCATTCTCAAGATTAAGTTACAATTTTGCATAATAGTTTTATACTGTATGAATATCAGACATAATTTCTTTTTAGTAGCTAAAATCACCTTCTTAGGATGATTTATATTTTTTTTTGTAATATAGAATTGAAACTATGTTCACAGGTTATGCCAAACATTGTAATGTAAATTCAGCAATGAAAATAAAGGAAGCATAAAATAGTAAAATGAAGAGAAAACATAAGAAAAAGTAGTAAAAATAGGAAAGAATAAGGGAGAGGGGAAAAAAAAAAAAGAAAACTTAAAAATTAACCTGATATCAGTTATTTCTCTAATTCCTTCTTCATTTTTCTATAGATATCAATAATTATCCCATTCAACACTGACAAGAACCCTTATTTTTGCTATCCCAAAACTCATGAGGAATTAGTAACTTATAGTTTTCATAAAAAAATTTTTTCATAATTCTTTGACTTGATGGCTTAAACTATAAATATATTCTATTCAGTTTTTAAAGCACTTGAACTGTCGATAGATAGATATTATTAGTATTTTACTGAAAATTAATATTTTGAAAATTATTTTACCATTGAGATTTTTCTTTTTTGCTCAGGATTGGCTTAAACATATGTTCTGTTTATGTTTGAATTTTTATGTGTGTCACACACACAATTTCTTAGTTGATTGATTCCAGCTAAACCTTGTATATGTCTTATTTGAATTACAGATGATTTCAGTATACTAGTTATATAGTTTTAGCCCTTTTAATTATTTTAGGGTTTCATATACTCACATTCACATATTATATATTTGTTAAAAAGTAAAGATTTCTGACAGATAAGGCTTTTTCTTGCTTGAAAATCTCAATTTTACTTTTACCTTTGAAATGTTGCACTGTATGTACTGGTATTTTGTCTAAGTTTTGTCCTATTGACTAGTATCTGGTGCTAGTCTGCCATTTTACCAATTTTTTTTTATTTTTTTTTTTCTCTCTCTCTCTCTCTCTAGCTGAACAATATTCTGCCACCTTTACTGCACTCAACCCAAGCAAGCATGTCCCTGCATGCCTTTTTTGTCACTGCTTATTCTGCCAACTGTAAATTCCTTACAGTAAAACCTAACTATTGCTATCTTGCAAAAAATGCTTTTAAAAATTTCTGTCCACTTTAATGTAAACAAAAAAAAATTTAAATATAGCTTCAAATGAAACTGCTTCAGTCACAAGATTACATAACCTAACTTACCTTCTGGTACTAAGAGCAAAGATTGTATTTCACATTTTTTACTCTTGACTTAGACACTTATCAGCATTGTCAAATTAAAAAATACTTGATTATTCATCACATGATTAAAAATAAATAGTTTTCTTATTTATACTTAAGAATTAAAAAAAATTTTCTTGAACAGCTAAAATCAGTAAAGATCTTCAACCTTTTCAACATACTTGACATTTCTCCCTTGCATGTGTCCAACCTTCAACTTACTTGTTAGAATAAGTACCATGACAAAACTTGGCAACTTTAACCAATCTATAATAATGCTAGTTTTTTGGTGCTAATTAAAAATGTTCATTTAATTTAGAGATTTTTTTGGGTTTTCTTTCATTGCAATAAATTTATTAAGCGTAATTAACTTTTTTATATAATCCAAAAGAAATCTCAAATATCATGATCTTGATATATCTAAAAACTAATTTTAAATTCTGTGGAAATATAGATTAAGGCAAGTTAACATCTTCAATATATTTAATTGTAATTTTATAGATAATTTGAATTTTTGTTAGTTATTTCATAATTTTAAATTCATGAAAATGTTTTATTTTATACAGTAACATGTAAACATTGTTATCTGTTAGATTTTATAAAGTGTTGAAATGAAGAAAGCATTTTAAATAATTTATTAATTTTTAAAATGTCTACAAAACCTTTGCACTCAATTAAGAAAAATTGGTTATAATACATGATAACAATGGTATATTTGCATCATCAAAGAAAATCATATAAAAAAATAATGAAAAAAATTTTTACAATCTAGTATGGTCCAAGTTGTATGAAATAAGTTATCATTAACATTGAATTTAGAATTTCAGTATATTTTATTTTGTATCATTTTGATTGTTGTGCTTATTAATTTAGTGACATATGACATGATTTAACCAATTGAGCTAGATATATAATTGATGCAAGAAATAGAATGCACAAAAGAAATTTTCTAAAGTTGAATAAGTAAAAGAAACTCTCCTCCATCCTAATCGAGTTGAACAAAGTTAAAGGCTTCATTAGCTCCATACAGAGAGATGAAGTTAAATAAATATGTTCTTTTATATTTCTTCATTTCAGATGTTGCAGACAAATCTCAGGCAGCCTACCAAGAAGCATGGGATATTGCTACTGGAGCACAGAGCACCCTGCGTCCCACAAACCCTATCCGACTTGGTTTAGCTCTCAACTTATCAGTCTTCTATTTTGAAATGCAGAGTAACCGAGAAAAGGCCTGCACTTTAGCAAAATTTGTAAGTCTGTTTTTATTGGATTTTTTTTTGTTATTTTTACAGTAGTCACATTCCCTTTATGCATGATTGAAAAAATAAATATGATATGTATGAATATTAAATGTGATCATTTGTGATTAGTCAAGTTTTTATTATATTTGTTATTTTAAAATTAATTAATATTAATCCAAGGCAGCTTATAAAGACATTGAAGTTGGTATTAATTATATTCAATTAAATTCCCTATGCTAGTAGATGAGATTTTAATTGCTGTAGTAAGTAAATTTTATTTTAGTTTAGAAAGATATTTAGCATTAGAAATATCTCCAGTTAGTTTATATAGAGATAAAATGTTAAATATACAATATGTATTGTGAAATAACTATGAATAAAATTATGTCATCTGAAATCTAAGAAAAAGATCAGATGCAATTATTAAGGTACATTTACTTGCATTTATTTGGAAATTTTATAGTTTCTCTATATGAAAGTATTTAATCTCCCAAAGCTGTAAATAAGACATAAAAGCAACATTTTAAGTTTTTTTTGTTTTTTTTTAATAAAATCATAAAGATATTTTTATTTCTTCATAAGTTTATTTCTTTCTGTTTCAAGCTTCTCTTTAGTTAAATGTAGAAGACACAAAATAACAATAAAGGCTAATGATAATCATAGAGGTATTTTTCCAAAGTAGACATAGCCAATCATCCAAATAGACATTTCTTAAGCTTACTTTCATGTGGCACCCAGTAAGAATTTGTGAGCATGAGTGTGTAAAAAGTTAGTTTAGGTTAAATCAACTTTCACTTCCTTGAAGACAATGTTATAGTGTTATTTAAATTAAAAAAAAAAAAAAAATTTAACACAATATCTGATGGAGAAGCATTCACATTATGGCATTTGCTGTTGCCAGTTGGCTAGGAATTGCCATCTCTTCCCCAATGACTATTAAAAGAAGATTAAATATCTGACTGAAATGGGCTTTTATATATATATATATATATATATATATATATATAATGAACAAAAGTAAACTAAAAATCAATATGCCTGACTTATATAACCCAATGGTAACTAACAGTTAGTATTGACTAATAATTACTTACTTATAGCAAAGAAGACCTAGCAAATTGCATCTATAAACTTGGGTCTGTGTTTTGTCATTTATTTTTTCATATTTATGAAGTGTTATTGTGTTTTATGGCATTTCACATGTGCAGCCTGCTCTGTCAGTTATGATCTCATCGCCTGGGAATTCCTTGCTTTCTCTGTTTCTGGTGCCCATTGTCAGCCTCTCCCTTTCATTCTATTCATTTATTTGTTCACTTGATTTGTGTCAGAATAAGTCCATTTTTTCTTTCTTTTTAAATTACTTTCTTTTTTTTACTTTCTAATTTCTTTCTTTTCTCTTACTTTTTAATTTCTTTTCTTTCATTCTAATTTCTTTCTTTCTAATTTTTTCTCTTTCTTTTTAATTTCTTCTCTATTTCCTTTCTCTTTTCTTTCTTTTTTATTCTCATATTTTTTCTTTCTTTTTTCTTTTTATACAGTTATGTCTTCAAAGCAAAATAGTAATTTAGTTCATGATTGAAATTTTCTGTTTACATTAATGGTCACATACTTTTTGGTATTCCATGTACACCTAATATTATAAGTACCTGGAAATACATTTTTTTAAAATTACACAACACTGATAATCAATTCCCAACTGATTACAATAATTTTTTTTTACCTTATGTAACAGACTAAATAGAGTACTTGATTCAAATACAGCTCACACGTTCAAGAGACAGGAATAGTAAATGAAGAGAATTTAAGTTAATGGGAATAAAAACTAAAAACACATGTCAATTAGAAAAATGGAACAAAAATAACTTCTATGGGAATATATTACATGCTTATAATTGATTAACTTGATTCATTTTCAGCTTGTGCAACTAATCAAAGTGTAATATTTTTACAGAAATAAAAATAATAAAGTTTTTAAAATATAAGAAAATGCAATATTATTAATAATTTATGGCTAATCTTTTTTCTCATTACCAAACTACAGTGATTTGGAATAAAGAAGTAGCTTTGCAAAAATTAAAAAAATGTAAAATGTTTGCAAAAGATTTTATTATTAACTTTGTAGTTGATGAATATTTAGATAGAAAAGATTTGAAAAAGTTAAACAGCTTGCACAGAAACATGGCAATAAACAGTTTGAAGCAAATTGGAAACAGAAACCTCTGCATGGGCAATACACTCTTCAAAGCAAACCAAAGGCACAGCCATCACTGGATTTGGAACTGTAGATTCAAAGCAAAAACAGGCATTTATATAGACTGCATAAGGTCAAAGCTCATTCACTTGCAATTACCAAGGAAATGTTTTTAAAACTGATACTGATCCCAAATGCCACTTTTGCAACCTATATATGGAAACAAAAGATCATCTTGTTTCTGGTCATTCTGTTCTAACTACAACAGAATATAAACCTTGACATGACAGAATAGGTCAGCATTTATATAGGAAAATGCTACAATTAGTCTGGTGCTTCTGCTATGTATTTAGAGATTCTTGATAAAATCTAAAGCATCTTGGTTTCAGTCAGTTTTCCTCCACTTAACATAACTTCCTGTGCCATGTCTATATTTTCCTGATAATTGTTCTGATGAGCTTTTCACTTTGGTACCTTTGCTTTATGAATTTAAGCACAATACTAGATTGGCAGCTAGGTTTCATCATTTTACAGCTGAAATTGCTAGATGTAACTGTAAATTCTATGCTAACAGTTCCTTCTCTCACACTTTTCACTTGTGGAACTCACTTCTAGTTTTTTGCTTTCCAGTCATCTTTGATCTTCAAAAATTTAAATACAATGTCAATTGTTATTTTCTGCCTTCTTAATTCCTGCTCTTTTATTGTTCTCTCTGCTTAATATTTTTCTTTTTCTCATATTCGTTCACACCCAGTGTCTTAATGGCTTTATTGCCTTTCTTGAGGTGAAATGATTAAAAAAATTTGCAAGGACTACAAAATACCTGCAGTAAAAATTCACGAACATTAACTGAAGGGAAAACATAACAGTATGATGGTAGTACTGACAGGACCATTACAACAAAATTTCAGGTATAATTATCAAAGATCAGAAGGTAAAAAAACTGCCTTTTAATTGACAGGAGTGTTTCATCTGATGAAAAAGATCTATAAAAGAGTTTATCTAAGTAAATATAAAGATCTTTAAAATTCAAAAGATATGGCACTTAAAATCACAGGCTATTCCTGTCAATGTTTGAACAATACATATGATGTAGAAAGACACTGACAAACATCTCAGTAAAATCCCAGGTAACCCTTCCCTCTATAAAATCCCCAAAAGAGTACTTGCCAGTATGACACACATATTTCAAAGGGTATTGTCAATGTAATTTTTTAATCATATGATTAAGATAAATAATTTCTATATACCTACAACCTTTTACTGCTTTGTTATTGGTAATAATCTAACAATAGAGATTATCAAACAGAAATCAAATAGAAACAAGAAATTATTATTAGGTGGAGGAGGAGGAAGTTTTTCATTTTGTAGTCTTTCTAATCATTGTGTATTATTTTTATATATTCCACATTGCATGAAAAAAATGTGCAATAATAAAAGTACTTCATTTGAGTATCTCAAAATAACTGAAGATTATTGTGACTATTTTTTAATCAACAATATATATAATATGGCATTATTAAAACAAGAGATAGTGGCAGAAAGACTTTACAGATGAGAATACTGCCTTGAATGAAAGGAGCTTCCAAAATATGGGAAGTGAGTTCAAGTTTCATCTGGAGCTACTTTTTTCCAAATTCCTATCATTTAATAGTTGAAGAATGAATTGGCTATAAAGCTGTGATAAAAAGCAAGAAAATAAGAAGAAAATGTGTATAATAATGAAAATACTTAGTCTCAGAATCTCAAAAACATCATCAGTGCAGTTCCAATACTTTGTTAAAATTTTAAGAAATAAATATAAAACCTGTCAGATGAAATGTATAATGGGTGAGAAATAGCTTGAATAGCTAAAATTATTTTCTATTTAAGAAGTGAAAACAGTTTTATTTTCTTATTAATGTTTTTTGTATAGTTTCAGAATTGACCATTAAAAAGATACAAATGAAGATTTTACTATATTCTCATGAAAATTTGTCAAAATAATTTCTGATCCTGAAAAGATATGTTAAAATAAAATTTGATCATATGCAGTATTTTATATCCTCTCAAAAGGGTGTGTGTGTATATATATATATATATATATATAATAAATTGTAAAAATAATCTTATTGGCATTCATGTTAGGTGTAGAGTTCATATGAAAATTTAAATTAGACAAAAGTGAATCCTACATTTATAAAATCCACTACACTAATAGATATTCTGATTTTTTATTAAACTTTAGATTTTATTAAAGATAAAAATTGGAACTAATTTTCAAAAAGTAATAGGTTATGTGGAAGTTTCATATAAATTTAAAATAGTTTTTTTCTTTTTCAATGTAAAGATAAATTTGTATGTTGCACTACAGATTTTAAGCATCCTCAGAATTTTTGGCAACAATTGATCTTGAAAACAAGACTGAGAGAAATTTACTAATAAAACTAGATTATAATCTGATATTTATTACCATTTAATTTTAAAAGGTTCTTTACAAAGAATTCTGTATAAATTATTGTTTCTTTTCACAGGCTTTAAGATACTTAAAGATGTAACCCACTTTCTCAATAAGCTTTGATAAAGAATGTAATTTGTTCTCATATTGATCTTCAATGGTATTTACTGATTTTGAAATAAACTTTTTATTTCAAGATATAATTGTTTAATTATTTTAGATTAATCAGCTATATTTTTCTATAAATGTTGTGGTAATCCACCAAAAATGGACAGGTAAGGGCAATAGAGTTTATCTTAAAAAATATTAAATTAACTAAGAACTATTTTAGAGACCATTAATTTCTTCTCTTTATGACTATATTTTCAAAATCATTGATTTCAATGTATTTTGCTAGATCATTTTTGGCTGTTAGTTTGTTTGTAAAATGCCCACCCTGTTAATTGTAGTAATTTCTTAAAGTATAAATGTAGAACAAAATTCTAAACATTTCCCCATGATTTGTTATTCATTTCAAAATGAATTTTCCACTTTCCTAAGTTGAACCCTGCTGTATCTTATAATGCAAAGAAAGAGTTCTTCCAATCTTAATAACATTCTGTTGACTGCAAGAATGAATATTTTTCTTACTGCACCTGTTCCTTTTATCCATAAACCCAAAACATCTTTTCTTTTTTTTCTTTTTCTTTTTTGTGCTCAACATAGATAAACACTGTTTTACTGTGAATGTCTGACAGGGAGAGCAAAGCAGACATAACTGAAGCAGCTGCTGCTATTTTCAGGTAGAGAAGAAAGCAAAAAAGTGGCCTCATGACTCATTTAGTTACCTCTTTATGATTTCAGCTTTAGCTTACATGCCCCTCTTTTGCTGTAAGAAACTGAATTATAAAAACCCTGTTGGCCCATCTCTTCTTAAAAGTGATGAGGTGTGAGAATTTTATAAGTTAGATATTATTGAGCTAGTGATTATTTTTATATGAAGGCTTAACACTGATCACATATGCTTACTCAGGACAGTTATTGAGAGCTATATGAAACTTTTATTGACAGTATTTATTATGTGTTATTAAAGATCATCACTGGGAATTGACAAAATATAAAAAACACTCTCAATAGCATTAGGAAGAAAAAAATGAAAAGTTTATAATAAATTGATTGAATGTTTTAATTTATTTAAAAAAATAAAATAAAACAATGAATAGTTCTAGTTCCAAGGTCATCAACTGTTTTTGTATAAGGATTTTTCTTTAGATAAGTTTGCCTATTGCCTAGTTCACACTCCTCGCTTGTCTTTGGAACAGGAGTAGAGGTTTATCTCTTGTTTCCTGTTTAGGACTGGGTTTCCAGCTACTTCTAGAATCTTCTCATTCACTCCCAGTAACCCTCTGTGTTTTAATGTCATTATCGCCTTGCTTGGGGTGAATTGATTAAAAAAAAAATAATTGATTGTTACGAATCCAAATTCATTATATGTCAGTTGAATTTTCTCACTATAGTGGTAGAATGATTTTCTTTATCCATGTCATACACCAACTGCTAATTTCTAGTTTTTGATGTAAGATTTCTTTTCTCTTTATAAATTCATAATAAATTTTAGTTTTGGTGATATCATTATTGACTTTGTCATGAAGACTGACTGCAATATTTCTTCTCCTAATATAGGAAAATGATGTCCTTACTATTCAAAAATTGTTTATTACTCTTAGCCTCCATTTAACTTCTAGATGTCTATCTAGATGCAGTCAAAAATAAATCTCTGTATTTTTATGAGGTAACAAAAGGACAACCATGTGTGATGAATAATAATTCTTTCTGTTTGAAAATTTAGAAATACCAAGATAGTCATGGTCAATCAGCAACCGACATGCTGTATGAGGCCTGTTTGGTCTTTCTGAATGGCATGCTTAATTTCATAAGGAAATTAACATTTCTTAAAATTTTGTTTTGTTCTTACTTGTTCACTAACACTCTCTCATACATAACCATATACATAAAGAATGATTAATTACAATGTTTCTTGAATTTTGTAAACTTCCAGTGAAAATAAAGTTTTCATTATTTTAAACCATTGATGATTTTCATTAAGGAAGATCATATGTGTAAATATATTTTGCTTTTGAAACAGGAAACATTCATAATAATTTTTTCTCTGGAGAAGAAATTTTTTTTTTTTTTTAATGTTCAGATGAATAAATTAGAAATAAATCACCTGCAGTGACATGTGTTAATCACACTGTATGATACCAAGATTTCAATTTTTTAATTATAGAAAAAAAAAACCTTTCCCCTATTTCTAAGGTATATCCTTACGCATATGATCTTCAGTAGTGAAAATAGCTGAGGTACCTACTACAAAAAATTACCTTGAAACTTTTTAGTAGTGTAACCTGCCTTGTGATGAGCAATAGATCATGCAGCTCACTGCTTGAATATCTAGGCATTGGTAAATACTGAAATAATAGAATTCTTTACCTTTCAGCCTATATATAGTTTAGTGCTTAAAATACTGTTACACACTTATTCATGAAAGTTTTTAATTTTATGTTTTCATAATTTAACAATTTATTTTAAATTAGTTTAAGATATTAAGGTGCATAAAATCACAAAGAGAGTTGAAGTCTATTTTTCTTGCAATAGTGAAAAGTTCAAAATTAGAATTCTTCATAGTTTCTTATATATTATGAAAGTTAGGGATTTATAAGATTCTAAGGAGAAAGAATAAATTTAAGTTGAAAGCTTTTCTTCATCAATAGTTTAAGCATAAACTCGTGTACAATTTATTGTCTAAATGATCATTCATCTTTTGCATCATAAATTAATAAATAAGCACTGAGCATTCTAGAAAATTAGTTGAAATAATGAATCATTTCATATAGATTCTAGCTACTTTTGTTTTTATAAATGGGAAGATAAAATAAACACAATGAAATGAAATTATGATATTTGTGTCAGGAATTACATTATTTGCATTCAGACTAATGTCCTCATTTTTGTTATTGTTACAATACTTAGACCACCTTCTTCAGGTGGATGTCAGTCCAAGTAACTTGTGTTAGGATATTGGAAAAGAAAAATTCCAAGTACAAGAAGGCTAAGACGTGTTTATTTTTAATGCGTTTGTCTTTTTTTTCCCCCCATAGGAATTCTGCATCTTTATTAGTGTAAGTTAGGATGACAAAGCCCAAAAGTTCTTAAATTCTTTAATTATTATTATTTTCGTTTAATGTTTGCAACAATATCCTGTAAATAATCAAACTAAACTAAAAAAAATGATTCAAACCTATTGCCAAATCTTTCCAAGCAGATCAAATATTTTGGGAGCATGAAAACAACTTTTTAAAAAAGTTACATCTTGACAGTATTTTTACCAAAATTAATATAATATGTACTTATGTTTATTCTAACAAAGTGAATTTGTTGGTTGCAGTAGCTCATTATTCAAATTTAAATACTTTACAAAAGAATTTCTGATGTAGTTTAATTTTATTACTAATTTATTTCTAGTTATCATTTTAGTGTGTTGTGCATAAATTTTATTCTCTTTTAGTTATGCTTAAAAAAAAAAAAAAGAAAAATTTATAAACAATTCTGATTCTAGACCCTATTTATCTATGTTAAAGCCATGGATATCTAGGACTTAGTAGCATCTGTTCATATTTAAAAAAAATATTGTAAAGTTTTTTTTTGTTCTGTTACTAATTATAGAAAAACATTGTTAAAAGCAAAAAAAGCTCACTAATAGCGATTTGAATGGTTGAAATGTCATTGATAAAAAGTACTAATTATTTAACTGCAAAAAATCTTTTCTCAATTTTTTGTCTTACATTAGTTGAACAGTGGTGCATGGGAAAAATAAAATCACTTGTTATAGAATTTAGATTTGATTGCTTCTACTTTTTTTTTTTTTTTTTTTTTTTTTTTATAGAATTCTCTTAATAATTGTAACCAGAATGGATGGAAATGTATATTCCTGCTGGTGAAAATTCAAGATAACTTGATTTAGATTAGCAAGTTAATTCCAGTTTCACAACATGTCCACTGTGGTGATTAAAACTAATGTATGATTCTAGAAGAGTATGTTTACATCATTGCTATGAGATGAAATAGTTTGTTATGCAACAGATTTTTAATTTTGGACATGACTTTTTTTTCTTGTTATTATTTTATTCTTTCGAGAATGGGTGCTAAACCTTACAGGTAAGTAATATTTTGAACTACACCTAATGAGTGATTTCTTGAAAATATTAAGCATAAAAATATACCACTGCCTAAAGAAAACCAGAGCTAATTTCTGGAAAGGGCCAAATTTGAGAATTCTTGAAAGTCAAAATCAATGAATTAGTGCTGAAATATTCTTGGCCTGATCAAGAAGGGATTTTTTAAAATTCTATTTGGTCAGATTTTAGGAAATGGGGTCAGGATGATAACTTTTCAGCACCCACTCATGAAACAATCTTTGTTATAATAGTCTCCTACTGGTCAAGCAGAATCAATGATAAATAATAAACAGTTTTATCATCTTCAGAAAATTCTAATTTGTATGTGAGCAAATACTTAAATAGAAAAATAAGAGTCTCCAGCAATAGTGAGAGCAGAACTTTTATTGTTTTCATTATTTTTTTCATTATGATTTTCAAGATGATTATCTCCCTTAAAGCATTTTTAAAATCTTCTTTTCACTTAATCTTTACCTGACTTTGTCTTCTGCTTTCATAATCAAATTGTTCTATGACTTTGAAATTTGCCAATCTTAAAAATTGATTACTTGTCTATTCATTCATTTTGCTTTCCTCTCTTGCAGGCATTTGAAGATGCAATTGCAGAATTAGATAACTTGACTGATGATACTTACAAAGATAGTACTCTGATTATGCAGCTTCTACGAGATAACTTAACAGTAAGTCAAATTAAATCATATTTGTTTATGTTGAAACATGTTCCCATTTGATTGCGAAAGTTAAGTAGCACTTTATCTCAAATTCATAAAAAGAGTAACAACTACAGATCAAAACAACAAGAAAAAATAATAATACTAATATCTCCCATGACCTATTAGATTGCTGGATTGCCATATTGAGTAATTGCCCATCATAGCATCTCTCAGTTCAATGCAAATTGCTTGATGATGCCCATCTTCCCTTCCCAAGTAACAGGTTATACTGGGTTACATGGTACCAGCAGAAAGGCACAATTCCTGACCTGACCTATTATTGAATACCCAAGATAGACTGTCTTGTAAGGAAAAATAAAATTATTTATCCATAGCTGCAGGAGAAAAGTGGATTCCTACCTTCCCAATATTATTAGTGCAAAGTAAATGCAAATTGCATCAGCCAGTGTTTGAATGATGTTTACAAATTCCATTCTCCCTGCTATTAACTGTTAAGACACCTGCATTTCTGATAATAAACTTTATTATTAAATTGTCAACAAAACCTTCATGATTTAAGAGAAATTTACTTCTGGTCATTTGAATCTCTAATATGATCTTGGTCATAGTCACAGGTCATCACTTATAATGAAGAATTGAGAGTGGCCATAGAGGTTCATCTGGAAACAAACACACTTGGGCATTGGTAGCCAACAGTCAAAAGACATCTGACACAAATCAAAAGTGCACACCCCATAATGTGATTGATGATCAGCAGCTTGCACAGCAACAAGTGTCAACTTGTTGCAGTTTGCATGTTCATTTTTTTTAAAAAAAATGACACTTTTCTTCGTGCTTATACTTGATCAAAATTGTTTACCGTATGATAATCAGAAATGTGAATATCTTTGGTTGACAAAGATGCTCCTATGTCAAACTCATGAGAGCCAAATGTTCACCCCAAAAGATCCTCTTTGGTAGTGTTGGAATAGAGTAATCCCTTACAACCTCTGCCAACCTGGTCAGACAATCATGACAGAGCCCTATTGTTGTGATTTGAAATCAATGCACCAGAAGTTGTAAATTTGGCCAGCAATGGTGGATAGAAAGAGTCCTACTCTGCTTCTACTGAGTAATACATGACCTTCAAAAACTACCAGGAAAAAATGATACTTAGACATCAAGATCCCTGCACAACCCTCCCTATTTACTAGACTTGTCCTCTACCAATTACCATTTCTTCTGGCTGATAGTGTATACCATGCTGACCAGTTTGAAAATACCTATTAGCAGTTTGTTGTATCTATAACCCCAGTCTTTATTGAAATAGAATAAATTCACTGCTAGATCATTGTCACTTCTAATGGTGCTTAGTTTAAGTAATAAAATTGTGTTTGAGCCAAGTTAGGATATTTATTTTGTTGCAACCTTATATATATATATATATATATATATATATATATATATATCCTAACACTCCAAACATTATTTTGTGGATACCCATAAAGTAATGGTTCCTATTTTATTATGTTGGCAGTAAAGGTTGACCCTCCTTGCCAATAAACCATAAGGAGGGAGTGGAGGGGACTTTGTAGTTTAACAAAATGGTGTCTGACATGAAAATAGATATACAAAAATAATAATTGCACTCACTGACATTTCTATTTGCTGAACATTTAGTGATGAAACTGAATGTAAGCACAGTTAGGCAGTGGGTCATGCATTTTAACAGTGATAAAGCTACATTCTAGTGGATATTGCACTGCTGTCAACCCAGGGAATGTAGTGTACCCTGCATAGTCAATGGTGATGACTGGAAAAATAGTATTTTATAGTTGAAAATTTGCTCTGTCCAGCAATGTTTGTGTTCCCTATAGTTTTCATGGAAATAAATTCAAGGCATTACTTTGAAGCCTCTCTCATATTTATAATTTTCTGGTTCTTTAATATTTTCTGTACTGCAAAAGATTTAAGAATATATGACATAGTTTTTGCAATATGAACAATACTATGGAAATGTACCAAAATTATTGATATTTTTATTGTTTATTAATTATCTTCCTGTTTGTATTTCAGTTGTGGACAGGTGATTCAGATGGCGGTGATGGTGATGGGGTTGAAAACTGAGTCATCAACTTCTCTTTCTCTCTATCCTCCTCCCGGCCTTGGATGCATTCACCTGGCCGGTGTGCACCCACCATCACCACTATTACTACTACTACCACTACAATTAGTACTACTACTATTACTACTACTATAAAGGCCGCTACTTCATTCTGACAGCCAAGGTTTAAGTAAACAAAAAAAAACAAGAATAATGGTTTAACTATAGAAAGAGATAATAAAGGAAAGAAGGAAAAATAAAACTGAAAAAAGAAAGTTCTTGAAAACCTGAACCAAGTTGAACAACTTTGCTGTATTCCCATGTCTAATGGTCTAGATGAAATTGTAGTTGTCAGCGTCTGTCTGTCTGTCTGTCTGTCAGTAACCCACAGATCACTCACTTCCTTATGCTTTACTTGGACAGCTGAGCAAAAAAAGATTTTAAATTAAAAATAAATAAATAAAAGCTGCCCTGTTCTTCCTCACAATGTCTTCATGCTCAATCAGCTAGTCCTCTCATCTGGAGAGGATCTGGCTGCCTCCTCTCTTAAATAATCAATTCATTTCCACTATTGCTACTTGTTTGTTCATCTATTCCAATGCCTTGCAAGTGTGCTGGTTCTATTTCTTTTTTTCTTCTTCTTGTAGTTGTTGTTATTGTTACAGCATTTTCCAGATAAGAATGATTCAATATGGTCAATTCCTTCGAGCATTTTTTTTCATATAATTTTATTTTGAACTTTGAGGTTGCTTGCTTTCTGTTCTTTCTGGTATGTCATGAGTTAATTCTCCTTGAAATCAAATGCCACAATTTTACATTAAAAGAAGGTGCTACGAGTTTTTTGCATTTGCAAAAGGAATGGTCCTTCTCTTTTCTCATTATTAGCTTTGCTGCTTTTTCATTTGAAATATTCTTGTAGTAAATGTCCACTGAATTTACTTATTTCTTTGCATTCTTGGCTACTTGCAATAAAGGCTTTTGTATTTTAAAGAAGAAAAATCTTGAAATTTGAACAGCCTTCTTTGTTCTACATTTCCAAATATTTTGTGGAATAATTTCTATTACTGAATTGGGAAAGAAGACTTTTCCTGTTATTTAAGACCAAAAATAAACCAACTTATTTATGCTTTTATTCTTTTTTTAAACCTTTTCTTATGAACATCTGGACAATTGTATTTTTCTTTTTAAACATCAGTGGAAACTTTAACTCTTGTTCTCTTACAATCTTGTTGCTTGCAATGTTTTATAGCAAGTTTGGTTGCAACTCTTCTTTTATCCTTTTTTAGGAAGTGCCAATTGTTTGTCTACCTGAAAGAAACACACTTATTTCTGTTAAGTATTAAGTTGGAAGTAAAAGCAAATTAAGTTTTGGCTCTTCAGTCAGTGTCAGTCTCTTTCTCCATTGACAGACTGAAATCTTTGAATTTAATGAAATTCAAACTCATGTGCTACATAATAATTATGTTCCTAATAATTCAACTAAGTCAATAATTCTGATGAAACATTAGAAATAAACTTACCCAAAACAACTGAATGTGAATATTAAAAATAAGTAGAGTCAGAGGATTACTTATGCAAATAGCCTTTATATATTACAGCTGCATTTTCTCCTAAATATGAAAATATTTTTCTCATTAATTATATTAACATGGTACTTGAATGTTTAAAAGTATTTTTGTCTTTTAAAAGTGGTTCATTCCATTTGTTCAATGCATTTAAAGATACCAAAAATAACTATTAATATAAAAAATGCTTAAATCAAATTCAACAATTCTCTTTGTTGTTTGTATTTTGGGCATGTCTTTATTATTATTGTTGTTAAATATATTTTTTCCATTCAAAAAAGAAAATTTATTGTACTAAATTTGGTCTTGTGGATTCTTTTCATTCCAACCCATCTTTTTATTACCTTGATAGTTTCGTTTTTTGGGTTTTTTTTTTAAACATTTCTGGTTCAAAATTCATTTGCTTCTGAAGTTCCACTCTTAGTAAAATTTCTCCGAAATCAAATTTTATTTTAAATACAAAATACACACTATAATCTTGTTGCATTTGTTTGTTCAAATGTAGTATTTGGTTTTGACTTTTACTGAATCAATTTCTACTTTTGCCCCCTTTGCCTTGTCATTTTCTGAGTGTTCCAGTGAAGTTAGAGGTTTGTAATTCAGCCTGGATATCATTCTGATAGTATTTTGTCATCATAGTTGACCACCATCCTTACCAAATTATAAATCACAAAATTAAAAGGTTAGTTGCTATCACAACTGATGAAGCTGCAAATTGATATGATTTGGTTGCTTCTGTATAACAGTTTTAAACTTAGATCACTTTAAAAGAAATAATTTTTCCCTTTCAGATTCTATTTTTCTCAAGAATTACAAGATAATTATAAAATTTAAATAATTCTCCAGAAGAAAAATAAAACAAAAAATTGTTATATTTTAGAAAAGAAGGCAAGAAAATGAAGAAAAATAAAAAACAAAACAATCCTGATAACGATTTATTTATTATATATATATATATATATATATATACCTTTTGAATATCTTGAAAAAAATGTTTGAGATACACATAAAAAATATGAATATAAACACACATTAAGTTTATCATTTACTTACATTTTACTAGGTTTTTGCTTTGTTCACCTTACATAGAAAAGGTGAAATATGTAAATGGTTCATACATGTAGAGACTGTATTAATTTCTTGGTTCTCGGATGCCTCTATTCTCTTCCTAATTTACTTATCAGCCATGTGGAAAAGACATTCTAGAAGCTGGATGTCATCTTTGTGTTGTCCTCACTGTGAATTTGTATCTTATGCCAGCTGTTTTTGCTGTCTACTGCTATTCCATATGAATTTCAGCGAATAGTCTTCTTCATTTTTAAATTCTTTGAGAATGAGTTCACCCCTTTAACAAAACCTAATGTTTTTTGGAAATTATTACAGTTAACATCCCACTTCCCATTTGATACATTGATAGATGAGTTATCAACTTTAACAAAAAATTTACTTGAAGTTTAGCTCGAATAATTGAATCAATAAAATAAAGATAAATGAAAAAAAAAACCTTTCGTATTCATATTTCCTTTTCTCAGATTTAAAAAATAAACTGTCCTTCACTGTTCATTTTTATTTCGTTGTTTTCTTTTCGAAAATTCATTCTACCTATTCCCCAAATTAAAATGCTTTCATCTCTGCCTCACTTGACATTTCTAAACAATGAATTTCTTCTGCTCAGTGCATTTCAGTACTTTTACCTTATACAGTTCTTCCCCTTTATTTTGTTTAAATGTTTTGTGGAAATGAAAAATATTTCTTCCAAACGCTGACTTGGTTTTGTGCATATTGCATTAGAAGTCTATGTTCTCCTCTCGCCACCAAGTTTCCTTATAAATTCCATTTTTGAATATATATATATATATAAAGACACAAAATTTTAAATGGTTATCTTGGCTTGAGTCACTTAAATATTTACCTATTTTAAAACCTACCATCTCAAAAATGGTGTATTCATTTTTAGCTTTCCTAATTTCCTTGTTAGCTTAGCAGTAAAGTATTCTATGCTCATCTGAATGTCATAGTCCTTGAAACAAAGTGTGCTTACAAATAAATAGCTATTTTTAAATCAAAGAAATGATTTTAAAAATCTGTGAAATTGATATATTATCAATTCCCTCCCCCTTTTTTTAATAAATAAATTTGATTCTAAATGTTCAGAACTGATGTTAATGTAGACAAAACTCTTGGTATTGTCCTCCTCTCTTTCTCCAAGTGGTTATTGTTCCTAGTTGGTGACATACTGTCAAGTGAAACTAGTTTCTATCTTCATGAAGACCAAAGAAAACCTTGTCAAGTTCCATTGCCGATGCCATATATCCCATTCATGGGCGGTGAAATCTTCAGTTTGGTGTCCCACCTTCTTCATTCGGGGGTAATAATTTTGAGGAGAGTATGGCTTACTGAAGATACACAGTCAACAGTTGCTGTGATTTCAAATAGGTTCCATTCTGTTGTCTTGCACTGTTATCGTCTTTTTATTTGACCCAGTTTTTAACAATAAAATTGATTATGTTTTAAGATGCTTTTTCAAGTTATCTTATATGTTGAGAACTGAGTGATTTTTCTCTTGCTATTCTTAAATCAGATCCTCCAAGTAATAAAACCCTTTTTTTTCCCCTCATAAACTCTTAATCTTTCTTTTTCCTCCCCACCCTGATCCTATGTTGCATGTTACAGCTACCTGACATCAACTCACATGTTAACTAGTTAACATTCTGCCTCATTATAAAAATAAAAACACATCAAATTATACAAGAATTTTTTGTACTTCTCATACAATATTTTACTTTTTTTGTATTTATTTTATATTTTCATGCAAATAAACTGTCTGGGATATCTATAAAATGTTTGTCCTTGCTCTGACGAACCTCACTTGCATGACAATTACTCATTATTTTCTTTTTCACTAATAACTATCTTTATTCAAGTAGTCATTAATATTTACTAATAAAATTATGGATTTTAAAGATCAACTACAGAGTTCTTACGTGATTTCAACTTTTTTTAAAATTTCATACAAAACTTTAAAATTAACCTCCCAACATAAAACTAAATAACTTAACCTGATCTATAAACAGGTGTTCAAAAGTAGGTTTATAATTATCATTCTGAGAAATACATGTTTAGTGTAGAACTTACAAAAGAAATGGTAAAGAACACTTTACTAAATATGTATTTTCTTTTATCCATAAATGAATCCCAAGTATATTGATCTATTTGCTGTAATAGTTGTTTCCCTTGCATTAGCGAAGCCAGATTGCAATACTGTTGATAATGGCACTCTTTGAAGACATCTGTGAGGTGAAAAAGACAACGACATAAAATAGAAGAAAAAAACTTGGAAAAAATGTCTTTCAAGACTCATGGATAAACCCTAATACTAAAGGACTTCAAATAGCACTTTCATATGACATTATTTTTCATGGTTTAATTAAATCGGTATTAGTAGATAGCAATATTTA